ACACAGTAGCAATAATAAAACACAATCTGTTCAGAAAAAAACATCAAACATTCTTGACGAGGGCAATCAACAACAAAAACGCCTGATCATACTTATTATAAATGCAGGTAGGCGATGTAACTAATTTATATTATTTGAATGTCAGCTTGTTTTGCTCGTATTATACTCCTCATAGTTCTTATAAACACCTACGAATGATATCTGAATAAACCTGCTTCTCTCATCCACACTGATGCCAAGTCAGCAGTTTTGCATGTATTATTGGACAATAATATCACCAGTTCACCAGTATACCAGATCTATTTATATACTGAAAATCAGTTGTACTAGGCCGTCTGCTTCATTTTACTAATATTCGTGCGATTAGGGTCATTTCCTGTAGTTAGGACTGTGTTCAAAGAACTAAATCGAATCAAGTAATTTGAATTCAATTGAAATATTTCCTCTAGTACAATCAATATAGCATATTTTGCGTTATTCTCAATGAAGAAGGAAGCAGATAACAACATGATATACGAAAGATATTATGAGTACACAATATCACCTCACATCAGATGAATCATAAGTCAGTATAGGTACCTCAATGCATCTGTCAAGGATGAATATTTAATTATCAGCTATTTACTTAACAATAGGTGAATCCTCACCATCCACGGTACTTTCATTCATCATCAATAATCTTCATAGGCATCTAATTATTCATTATCTGTTTTATTCTGCAATACCTATACAGGGTGTCCCAAGTTATCGTAGGCAATATCTCGCTTATTTTACAAGGTAATTGAAAAATTGAAAAATTTCATTGAATGACATTGAAGTACCTTCCTAATGACATATGAAAAATCTATTACATTCAACAGTTCTCTGGCAGGTATCCTCCACATTTTATTTTCATATGGCACCTCCTGTATATTGTCATTGAGTACCTGGTACTTTTTTATTATTATAACAACCACATTTATGTATGAATTTCAACTAAAATATCTCTCAAATTTATTTTGACAGGAGGAGCATCGGCTTTTAGAAACAAAAAACATAAGCGGAGGCATTTTTTCATTTTCATAAGGATAATTAAGTAACATGAAGCAAGTCACAAAATGTTGAGAAAATACCAAGTATATGCTATCATTCTATTCCAAATTGAATGACAAGTAATTACCAATGACAAAATACAGGGGATGCAATTTGAAAATAAAAAGTGTAGGGTAGCAGCTAGAAAACTGTCAAATGTGATGGTTTTTTTCATATATCATCAGACAGGTACTTCAATGCCATTCAATGCAGTTCTAGAATTTTCCAATTATCTTGTCAAATAAGCAAGATATTGCCTGTAGTGGTCGACGGAGTTTCATCTGACTTTCTTATCGTATATGCTGGTGTTCCACAAGGATCAATTATAGCACCGACACTATTTCTACTCCATATCAACGATTTGTTGGAAGCAACTTCATGTCCAGTAGGTACACAGCTTCGCGAATGATAGTATCCTCCATACCGCCTTCTCTTCCTGGGCTCCTAGAATGGGAATCCAATAACTTGGTAGATTTCAATGCAAACAAAACACAAGCATGCCTGTTCTGTAGGAAAGCCGATCTCACTGTGCCCAACATAAGCATGTCAGAAGTAACCATACCTTTGAAGACATTCATTTCGATGCTTGGTAGGGTAAAATCACGTGAGATCAATTGCTAAAAGTGCATCCCAAAAACTTGGTTTTTTGTTTCGGGCCAGGAGCTATTTCACTTCCAGTCATCTGCTCATAATCTATAAGGCACAGATCCGACCTGTCCTGGAATACTGTTCCAATATTTGGAGTGCAGCACCCAAACATACCCTGAAACTGTTAGATTCTGTCCAAAAAAGGGCAATTCGTGGGTGAGCCTCGCTCACGAACTCACTCACTACTCTGGAACACCGTAGAAAAGTCGGCGATCTGGCCCTATTTTATAGATATTTTCATGGACGATGCTCTTTTGGATCATCAACAATTTTTCTTTCATTGGCAGTCCCCGCGAGATTAACCTGTCGAGTTGAGGCTTCGCACCCTTTCGTGGTCACTTTGGAGACCTGCAGAACATCTCTTTCCAAAGACTCGTTTATCCAACGAACAGCGAGGCTCTGGAACACATTGCCAAGAGAGTTGTTCCCCGAGGCATATAACCTCCAGAAATTCAAGAAGAACACCAATTCCTACCTTATTTCCCTTGTTTCTCTGAACATTACAGGATATCCATTCTCGTGGGAACCAGAATTTAAAAAAAACTTGGGACACCCGGTATAACTCTTCAAAGTATCATTCATTGCATTGTTTAATATTCAACGATTTATAGATATTTATTTCCAAATAGTATTCAAGGTCTATCAATCTCGAAAGAAATTTCAATTACTCTCGAGGAAGTCATACTCATTCTATAGGTGAAAGAGAGTTCATCAGGACTCATAAATATTCAAACGGTGAATGGCGTTACCTGATTCGTTTGTTCTGTTGTCTATACGAAAATTGTCGCAACTCGGAGAGGTTATTGAATGTTGAGAATATTTCGCAATAGGCGACTGACCGCCTATGCCAATAGAATAGAATAGAATAGAACATTTATTACCCTTTTGCCATGTATACATGTAGTAACTGGGACTGGACTGGGAAACTAATTCTCGTAAAATTTTCATATTCGGCGGGAAATGTAGATACTATGCACATCCTATGAAATTATGTAAAATCAACGTTTTTGGCTCCTACCAGAGGCGTACAACAGGGGCAAGTGATTGATTGACCCTTTCCAAATTCTACGCCACTGGCGGAATTTCTATTTCATCACAATTTTTCGATTCTCCAATACTTTAACATAAATATCGTATCTTTCTTCGAAGCGATTGAGTCATTATTTTTCGAAATATTCGAAGTAGCACAATTTGTGGACCATTGGATTGTATTGATTATTCAAATGGAACTTCAATCCTTTGTAACGAAAAATACATAATAGCCAAACAGACAGGAGCTGTTACCAGAGAGTTTTATTATTTATCATATCCAAAAATCTTGAACCCCAGCTTCTGCTATACTTATTTTATTATGTTTTGTTGAAGTTCCAGCTGAATGATGATTGCAATCCAATGATCCGAAACATCGACATAATTAATACACATCGAAACCAAAATAATTGTGCAGCTTCATGTTTAAAAACTTGAAATATCTCGAAGAATAATGACTTCATCGCTATAAAGAATGAGTACGATATTTACGTAGAAAGTATTGGAGAATCTAATAATTGTGATAAAACGGCAATTCCGCCAGTGGCGTAGAATTTGGGATGGATCAACCAGTCACTTGCCTCTGTCGTACGCCTCTGGTAGGTAGAGCCATTTAGTAGGGTGTGAAGACTGTGAAGTACCTACATTTCCAGCAGAATATGAAAATGGCACGTCAACAAAGTACTGGACACAGACAATTTCAAGATTTTTAGAAAATACAAGTTAGTAATTCGAGGAAACATATAACATTCATAAGATATATACCTACATTTCAGGCTGGTTAGCAACAGATGTGGAAAATAATGTAGTAAGTTACATAATACAGTTAAGTTAGAAAATAAACAGGTAGATGGTAATCCTTTTATGGATTTTAAATGCATTTGAAATTCAGAAACATCATAGAAACTATTTGAGGTTAGAATTTGTTTAAGATCAGTCTCAAATCTTTCCAGAGATTGATTTTTCATTGATTTGGGCAGTGAGTTGTAGAGATGACTCTCGCTATCTGAGAATTTTTGTACTCCATGATGATGAAACTTTTTCAAATCAATATTATTGTGATTTCTAGTGGTGTATTCGTGAATTTCTGAACACTTCTTGAATATATAAATTCTGACCACTGACAATATTCGATGTTTTTTAAGTGATTTCTACAGGAATCTTGATCCTTTAAGTTGAAAATGAGACGAATAATGCGTTTTTGTAGAATAAAACCTACTTGTTATTGGCTTGGCCCCATGAAATTATATTATAACTATTTAGAGTACTCTTCACGAGTTAAATACTTAGGTGTGTGCCTTGACAAAAAGCTCACCTGGGCCCAGAACATTGAACAGCAAGTTTCAAAAGCGAAACGAGCCATTAGAGCCCTGTATCCATTTCTAAACAGACGAAGTAAATTGGGTTTGAAACAAAAATTGAATATTCACATCATGGCTATCAGGCCAATTTAACTGTATGCCTCGGTAGTCTGGGGCCACACCAGCTAAATCTCATATCCCAAAGAAGGGAAGATTTGTATTTCGTGCAAGATGATTTATTAAAAATATTCGTAGCAGAGCGCTTGTACCTGTAAGTAAGTAATCTTCTTTTAGCTATTGGAAAGAAATTGTAATTGAAAATTCTAAAGAAAATCTCGAAAAAAATTCATATCACCAGATTACAAACATTACAAAACAAAATTGCGAGAATGGTGACAGGATCTCCTTGGTATGTTCGGAATAACCAGATCGCCAGGGATCTGAAAATCCCTTCAATCGTGTCCGTCATTAGAGAACGAAACATCAAGACTTTCGAAAAAGCTGAGCTTCATGAGAATCAACTTCTTCGAAATGCAGTTGATTATGACCCAGATGACCAATCAGAGTTTTCGATATTTATTTGTTCCGTTCGATCTTTTTAACTTCTCAGAATGTATTTCTGAAACTTATTTGAGGCAGAAGGCCTGTTTGCATCAAACTTCAATACGGTTTTCATTTTGTTTTTCTTTGGTTTCATGATAGATATCAGGATAAGAGGAACTTTTCCCTGGTCTGAATCAAATAAAAGAAAGTGAAAAAGATTCAAAAAAAAAACTCGAAACTTTGACGTATGTCGGGAATTTTTAGAAAAAATGTTTACCTCCCCGCTAGTAAATTTATTCCATTTAAAGTCTCCACACTGTACATACTACATATATCCAATGAATAAAAATCTATATCCAGTCCGACAACGCTGCTAAAACAGTTGTTTGTTGTTTGTTAAGAGTGGGACAGTCGCTCTAAGTCATTATGCAAATTGTGTGGCGAAAAAATCGAAATGCTCCGAGGAGTTTTCAGTCGTTCCGAAATATTTGTGAGGTTGACATATCCGCGTCGAAAACAATCTTTGTGATTGGTATGGTGTACACAGATGGTTTCCATGTTGATAATTCATAAAGTGAGTGTAATAAGTTCCATGTGATTGTCGGAGTAAGTGCTATGATGTAATTTTCTCACTTTTGAACCATCCAAGGCCAAGTTTATTGAATAACGTAAATCTTCAGTGAGTAGGTGAACTTTGGAATTACTTAATTCGATTAGGTAATTTGGTTTTCACTGGACATTCTTGAATTGCTTCTTCAAATTATATGACAAAATGATTATTCAACCAACTGGTGTATTAATGAGGGCGATTAATGATCTAGATTCTAGATGATATATTCGAGATCATTATTCGCCATATTACAACGGCGTAACATTTTATGGCATTATTTTGATAAAAATAGTTATTTATACACCAAGGTGTGAAGAATATCATCATTATTCAGAGACCAAGATAATATCCCAAGGCTTCAGCCGAGGGGTATGAGGTACCGTGGTAATAATATTCTTCAATACAAAGGCGCATATAAAATTGTTTTCACCACTAGCAATATATTTCAATCTTCATAGTTCTGTTGAACTGAAATATGGACCTGCTGTTACTATAAATTCCTACTTGATTCAAGTGCCATCCTGCGAATCTCGCATCAGAAGATTGAACTCGGTGGCTATGTCTGACTAGTGGTTCATGGAATGACGAAACTTATCTTTGTAGAATAAAACACACTTTACGCCTTGAAAAGAAGTGAATAATGATAGATTCTATAGCTACTGGTAGAAAAAATGTATTTTGTCAAGAATTTTCATAGCTCATACTATGCGCGTCTATATACAAAAACAGGAATTCTGCACACTGACTATAGAAAATTTCAGTTTTCTCAGTGAGCGTTCAGATGTACTCAAAGTAATAATTATTATAAACTGCTCAACATTTTTGACGTCGTGGTCCAAAATATAGCCTGAATTCAAAGTAGAATAACTCAAGAATTACCTTACCAATTTAAAATCAGTTTTCACCGATAATTAGCCTAATCTCTTGACAGTTTGTTGTGGCAATATGAAACTTCTGTAATTTCAGATAACATTGCTACCGGGTGATAATTGAATGGGTGTTAAATTGCATCGTGGTCGTCACCTTACCGTTTGAACAGATAATTTTCTTTATTTTTTTTCTCACCTGTACCCTCTTGATTGATGCTTTTTCTCGAAACATTTTCGGAATTTTCGAATTCAGAGCTTTGAAAACCGTGTTATGAATATTCATCCAAAATGATGCATTTATCGACGATTAATTGAATGAAATTGGAAGTTGGAATTCTTTTTCGAAGAATCAACCTTGTATGTTTAGTCGACGGATATGTGTTCGTGTTCGAAAATTCTGAAGTAGTCTATACAAAGTGATTCAAGAAATACTGAATGATGGAATGGAGAATAACGTAGTCTTCAGTAGATGAAAGATAATTTTCTCTGTGTTACTAGTGAAATAATGGAGTGTTACTTCGTCATGAGGATGTCTGGTGTCCGACCTCGAAATGGTTTTGTAATTTTTTGGATCGAAGGTTATATAATGAAGGTACGCATTTTTAATCAATATGATTCAGTATTTCTTGAATCACTTTGTATAGACTACTTCAGAATTTTCGAACATGATCACATATTCGTCGACTGAACATACAAGGTTGATTCTTCGGAAAAGAATTCAAACTTCCAATTTCATTCAATTAATCGTCGAAAAAATGCATCATTTAGATGAATATTCATAGCACGGTTATCAAAGCTCTGAATTCGAAAATTTGTTGCTTATCAACGAATATTTTGTCTGAATGAGTTTATGCTTCAAGATTCATTGAACAAAAATGAATAATCTTCTGTTTATTAGAGGAAATTCTTGTAATGTTCCAAGAACCTCGTGCGTACCTAGAGAGGATAAGGAGAGGAGGTAGGTGTTGAAATCTATGATAAATATAAATAAGTGAATATTCTTCGTGGAGTGGTCAGTAAAATTAGAGAAATGGTCTGCAAAACTTGTTCTTTGTTAGTTCTTCGATCCTATCAAAATATAATGATGCATTCCATACGGCCCCATACTACTCCCAACAAAAAACCAGAAATTTGACTTTGTGGGGTCAGCAATACAACGCTCTCAAATTCAAATTTGAAAACATCTGACTCATCTCATATTTGCTTTGATTAATGTGCATGATTTCTTTGATTTCGAACACGGATAGGTATAATACAATTGTTCCCAGTTTGGGCTCTTAGACATAATTGGCCTAACTGCATTCCACTATCAATACACGAAATAATACCTATACGAGGTGTTCCAGAACAATGTATAATAAATTTCACAGGGTGAGTCAGAGAACAAAATAGGCCGATCGAAATCAACTTATCTCCATTCCAAAATGGACTGTTGAGCTCGCTGTTAAGCCATGTGAGGGCGATGAAAAACAATTTTATTTCCAGATTTTCTCCAATACTTCAAAGTCCTTGGAAGGTACTGCTGTGGAATTCGTAGAACAATTTACTATGGTGCTTGGAAAATCTATCGTACCAATTCAATCAATATACAGCGAGATATACAAGGAGCTAGATATTACGCATTCTCTTAAATAAAAATTATAGAAACTTCTTCAGAATACGACACTTACGACATTTTAATGAATGACAAAATAACTGCAGTTTTCTTATAGTTTACCTCGGTTTTCGAGATAAATAACAAAATTCATGTTGGTGCCTCTCCTGGTTTATGATGTTGAAATTATCATTTGCTCGTTTGTACCTCATTTGTGCTGAGTGATTGACCACAATATTTATGTTCACCAATTCACAAGCCCATCATCATATGATTTGGGAGCTGGTCATTTCCAAATTTCAGTTCGGATTTCTGGTAAGAAAACTTTATTCGAGAGGAAATAAATGAATTTCAAGATGATCAACAGCTTTCTCATATGCTGCAGTAGTTCATAAACATGATAATCGTCATAATCATAAACATGTATGGAGGAGCACCAAAATTAATTTTGTTAGATATCTCGAAAACCAAGAAATTTTTTTTATCAAAACGTGGCCAGTGCCGTACTCCAAACAAAGTTATATTAATGTTTATAAAAGAGAATGCGCAATATCATACTACCTGTATATCGATTGAATTGATTCGACATGTTTTCCATGTGAACACACATAGTGAATTGCCCTATACGAATTTCTTCATTCTTCGGCGGTTAATTTTCGTATAGAGATTAGTTGATTTCAATCGGCCTATTTTGGTCTCTTGTTCACCCTGTAGAATTTATCTTGCATTGTTCTGGGACACCTTGTATATTATATTATACTATTACCCACATGAATCGAGCTTCAAGTGTTTTGTTTATGCGGGCTAGTCGGGGCTAGTAGTATAATAAAATGAATATTATGTTTTCCGTAAATTCTCATGAAATTTTGGAATTGCATCATTGATTCGATAAAAACGTGGGTTTATCAAATCAATCTACTCTCGATGCATATCATCAGCATAAGAACAACCAAAACTTTTGATTGCTACCAGTGAAACAAAATGACATTATGAATGCATGTTTCCATAATATTATCAAAATATTGGATATAATTTCATTATGAATGCATTTTTCCATATAATCTGAAAACAAAGTATCAAAATATGTTGGAAGATAAGAATAGCCCATGACGGCTATTATAGGAACGATAAAAAATAAAACATACTCAAAAACGAATCAAAAATCATTCAACATACCATCGAAAGAAATTCGTTACCAAATAGTTCGTATATATTGATGACTATAATACGTTTTTTATGACAGGAAAAGTATGACAATGGATCTTTTTTCAAGAATGAAGCCATCTGATATCTGATACTCATTAATTTTCTATCATCCTTCATCAATATAATCCTATGTTTCTCCTATATTTTTTTTCGATGAAATACGACACTCTCCGATGATTTATTCATAAAAAAGGTATTTGATATGTTTCGACGTGTTTCGAGTAGGTAAAACGGCATATAAAATGATAAAAAAAAATGGAGTTGAACAATACCTAAACACTTATAACATAAGACCACTAAAACAGTCGATCGCCACGTAAAACTACCGGCGATTACGAGAAGACGGAACATATTCATGAAAATGATTTATTGCAAATATTTATAATATATGCACAAGTTAGTTGATCCAAAAGAATGTTGAATGAAGAACTTTTTTTGTTGTTGATTGAATCGGCCGTTATTCTATGGAAATCTATGGCAAACTCCACAAACGATAAGATTTCCACAAAAATATCAAACACACGATATGTTCTGCTATCTCAGTAGCTTCATCAGGGGATCCTAATGGAATTCCACCCATTTGCAAGAGTCCAACCAATCCCCAAAAAAGGGAACAAAAACCTGCCCAACAACTACAGGCCCATTGCCCTGTTATCAGTAATCTCCAAAGTGATATAGAGAATGCCATCAATATTGAGCTTATCAAATATCTGGAGAGCTCAGGAATCATCAATGATAGACAATACGGCTTTCGCCACCGAAGATCTACTGGAGATCTACTTGCCTACGTCAATCATTTATGGCAAGCCTCATCAGAAAAACACAGGGAATCTCTAGCTGTCGCGTTAGACATATCGAAAGCATTCGACCGTGTTTGGCACGAAGGACTCCTCCACAAACTACCATCATACGGCTTACCACCTCAGCTATGCCATCTCTTAGTCGTCATAATTTGAGAAAGAACTTTTCGTTTTTTCAAAACTAATTTTCTCGATTATGATTACTCACCTGAACAAATCAATTTTGAAAACCTATAATTCCAAATAATTAATGTGATTGATTGATGTTGGGAGTATTAGCCATTCATAATCATTTTCAGTCTATAGTAAGCAATGTTGACAACCGTGATTTTTTGTACAAGACAATTATTATCGCAGTCATAATTGGCAAGTACATTCTCTTTTGCCAGACACATCTTCCAACGAAATAATAATGAAAAGCACCAAAAGTATCACGGACTATTATATTTCATGCCAAAACAGAGCTATTAGCATGCAATTCACATGTAAACAACAGTCAGTGAAGTCAATTAGTGACGTCACGTCCACGCATCGACGAGCTTAATTGAGTCTTATAAGAATGGACTATCCTCTTCCAGTTGAATCTTCTTTGGATAAATCCATCCTAATAAACATCCTTCTACAAATATATTTTGAAAATAGATAATGCGATTTTCCATATTACACACAGTTACTATCAAGGTGATGACACGTTTTATATGAGTTGTCACTTTTTATGTCCCATTTGGAATTCTTGAGAGGATGATTGTCAATGGGAAGAACTAACAGTGACAAATGAGATCGATATCGAAGAACGCCCTTTGAATACAATTTTTAAGGTGATTCATGATAGTTCCTTCTGTTCAGGAGTTATTCAGTCTAAATCATCTTGATTGGGCCATCTGGCCATCTGGTATAAAATTCGATCTGAAAATCCTATATATTGTCTAAATTTTCTACTCGAATAACTAAGAGAATAATTCACTTCACTTTTATTTCCTAGTCTTCAACGCCAATATTCAGTAAAGTTATAATAGTACTATCTTATTTCCTTGAGATAATACTTATTTACATTAACGCTCGATAATACAGGGTGAGGCAAAAATTATATCTTCTCTCGAATATACAAATACTTGCTGATTTATTGGGATGAGATTGTCTAGAGACTGTTTGATGTATTTTCACACCTATTTTTTGAAAATAGATTTTTACACCTCTTTTCTGAAGAAAATAAGAACTGTCTTTACAATTTTTTTTCAAAATTCAGAACATTTCCATATTCTGTATCTCGATTCATTCAATCAAGTTGAAGATTGATTCTTTTATATCTTGAGTCAGTTGAGGTCAACGTGAAATTTGGATTTTTTTTCACAAAATAAGCCAAGTGACAAATGTCTATAGCAATTTGAGTCATTGTTTCGAAATTAAATCATATCCATATAACTATTCACTTCATACCAATCTTGACAGCAGTTTGAGAAAAAAACTATATGTTCAATAATAAGATGGTTCAAAATACGTTCTTAACCTTGTTTGTGAAACTAACACACGTACCTGAGTATACAAATTATTATGTCAAACATGAGAGCCGTCAGTCTGAGAAATCATCGACTTTTTCTTCCTAATGACTTCTTGATTCGGTTTCTAGAAGGGTATTGAAGTAATTAGAAGCAAATATTGAACTACACATACACACATATCGATGACTAACGAATGTGAGAATGAATTTTCATTTTCGCAAATATATTGCGATGTCCCTCAAGCAATCTCAAGGTCTGCTAACTTCTCGGCTAACTTCCTACAATGATGTCACTAAAACCATCAAATATTTGTCAGCATACATTGATGAGAAGGGAACAAGACATTCATAAATACATTTCGGTAAAATTGTCTTGCTTCAAAATGTTTCATTTGTAGCTGCGGATGTTCGTAGCACGAAAATTCTTCCTCTCATAGAATCTCGTCGATTTGAAATTGTATTCCTGTGGATCTACACTCTCCCAGAATTTAAAGCACCACCAAAAAGTAGCTGAAAGTTTGAAATCCATTTCCGCCAAAACAACTTGTCCAGTTTTCGCATTCGGACGTTTTTTGTTTTAAAAATGACAGGTTATCTTCTTTTGATCACCGGTGTGTGAACTGTTTTCGTATAAAAACCGCTTTTTTATAGATACCGGGGCAGCAATTAAAGGGTAATTTTTCATCAACTTTGTGATGCCTTGTAGAGTGTAATAGTTAACATTTCATGTAAGTATTGAAATTACACTTCAAACTTATCTTTCTTCAACTTTTCTTTCATTGATAATTTCAGAAATACAAATAACACTTTCTGAAATTCAATTGACTATTCTGAAATACAATTGACGCTCCCTAAAATCGAATTGACTAATTTGAAATACAATTCACGCTTCCTGAAATTCAAATGACTAATCTGAAAAACAAAATTCAAAAATCTCTTTTTATTCCCGAAAAAAATTATTCGAACCATCCTCAATAAGCCAAGGTCCCACCCTTGCAAGCCACTGTTCTTACAACTTACCATTCTACCACTAGCTTGTCTAAATATACTCGAGGTTGCTGTAATACAGGGTGAGTCATTGAAATGGGAAAGTGAGATAACAACCTTTTAGCACATTTCCAAAATATTTTGCTTTATACAGGGTGACTCAAAAATGCGTGACGTATCAAAGTTATACTTTTCCTTATAGGACACCCTGTATTTCATTGCATTTTCGGATTCTCCCTTGTGAGCTGATTTCATCAATGCATCACACTTGGGTCTAGCGAGAATGATTACAGAGATATAGGGTGTGCAAAATCGAGATATTTCAACTTTAGGATTTTTTTTGGGTCGAAACTATTCATTATTGGTCAAAACGGCATACATGTCCCAATCTTAACTTTTGATTTACTATCTACTGATATTCAATTTGAACGAATACAGGGTGGTTCATAATTCTGAATTTTGACTTTAGTGAATTTTTTGGACTGAATAGGAATAAACATCTTCGATTATTCGCATTTTGACTAGATGAAACAAGGATTTGAAGATGAAGGTGACGTTAGGAAGTTAGGTTGACAACGTAGTTTTTCTTCTTCTCCTCTTCTTGAATTTTTGGGAATTCTAGGCATCACGCTGTGGCCACTGCCACACAATAATTTGGTCGTAATTTGGGTTTGAATGAAATCTCGATCATTATTAGGAATACTTGGATATTTTATGGGTACTGAATCATTTTGCAAGTATATTCAATACGTGATTATTAGGAACCAGGTCGAACTATTGTCATTTGTGAATGTGAATACTGTTGTCATTTGTCATATTCAATCTCATAAGTTTATTACTAGTTACAAATCTGGCAGCGACGAAATATTATGTTGTTCTACTTTTCATGCGGAAGCCAGAATTCAAAAAAACGATAACTTTTGGTTCGGTTCATGACACCATCGAAGCTGGCTTTTCAGATGGTGCCGAATCTCATTATTGAAAAAAATATATTTGAGATGATTTTAAATAACGAATGATTGCATCAAATACTATCACAGGGAATGATCAATATGAAATAGGTTTTTGTCGTGAATTCGACTAGTGTGTACAACCCTATTGACCATTTCTGAAATACAACTGGAAAAAAGAAAAAAGACACTTTAAGTCATCTCCACGAATGTATTAGTACACATCAGGAACATTTGAACATTTTTCGGACTATCAATAGTCCTTCATCAGCAGCATTATTAAAGAAATTTCTGCAAAGGAGACTAAAAAATTGACCTAAGTTATCTACTCACGTGGAAGTGAAAAAAGGCAATTGCAATGTTACAATTTGTTAGATATGAAAACAAAGAGAATTGAATTTTGTGTGAAAATGGAAGAGGGAGAAGTGCCATCAGTCCAAAGGGAAGGAGCTTTATGGAGTGTACAGCTACCTGGTCATCCAGGAGAATGTCGAAAATATGGGTCCTATGATTTTTGACAGTATCATGGCACCAAGGTATTCGCGAGATTCAAGAAGTGGGCGACATCTAAGTTACATAATACGAACTTCAAACTGGGGAAAAACAAGCTGTTGACTATGGATAAAGTGCATAGACTACATTGCATTCAGCTTGCTGAAGCTGTAGTCAAACTTGTCAATGACATAAAGTGTTGGCACTGTTGGTAGTGATGATGGTTGAGTTGGTTAATTTTTTCACATTTTTATTATTTTAGTGAACAGTGAACGGGGATAGTTCAAACAATTCAAACTAATTATGACGAGAAAATCAATTGACATATAAAAAAACTCAGATTGTCCTGCTTTGCATGAACAAATACAATTCCATTGTTCTAGAAGAGTTCCTCTGGACCTCAATTCAATTTTACTTCATGTGGGGAAGATTTCATCGCCGAAGTTTGTAGACAAAGTGCAAAAATGTGCCTTTTGTTGAAGTCTTCTGCCTCACACAAAATCACATCATTAATACGGAGAACTGCTTCTCCTTTCACTACTGGTCGGCTTTTTCCATCTAAATAGAGCAAAATATCTGCCAAAAGAACATCTACAACAGGCATTATTAGCGTTTTCGATCGAATATTGACAATTAAAGTCAGGAAATTCAAAAACTTATCACTCTTATCAGTACACAGTACACAAGCTAATGGCACTAATGGGATTGAGTGAGGAATGAGTTTGTTTTCTCCCAGTTTTGACGTGGCTTTGACATGGAACGATGAAAACCACACGCCACCTGGTAACATTAATTCCCGCGAATACTGCATGCGGGAGTGCCAAGTGACATAAATTTTTTAAATATGCATCAATTGACAAGTTTCAGACGACTGTAGAGCAGGGCCGTACTGAATAACCCGTCAAGGAGATAACAATTGAACAATATAGAGGCAAGATTAGGCAGAGCACTAACAATTGCGATAGTATTGTTCTGTGTCATTTGCCAATTGAAACTTACTTCGTACATTCTACGTTACTCGCCACACCCTCTTACAGTTTAGCTTGGTGCCTTATTGACACTGTCAATATTCATGGGCCACATTTTTTCCACATTCTCCTGGATGACCAGGTGTGTACCCTAAATAAAAATTCCTTTGGGTTGTGTGCACTTCGCCCCCTTTCATTTTCGCCCAAAAATACAATTCCAGTTGTTTTTATATTAAAAAAATTGTAATATTGCAGTTGCCATTTTCCACTACTTAGTTAACTATGGTCGATTTTGTATTCTAATAAAACAACACATCTCTTTGTGGAAATTTCTTTAATAATGCTGCTGATGATGGACTATTGATAGTCCGAAACATGTTCAGATGTTCCTGATGTGTACTAATGAATTTGAGGAGATGACTTAAGAGTGTGTCTTGTTTCTTAAACTTATTCACCCCACTTTGAGAAAATATGGACTTAGACCTCAGAACAACTAGAAAAGGTGTAGTCTGAGTTTTCGTTGTTGTTTCAGTGCCACGGGAGAGCGGGCGTATCGTCGGGGCGCTGAACGGCGGGGGCGCGGGGGGTGTCTCGCCGGCTTTTCCCGTCAGGAAGGAACGTCTCGAGGGCAAGTCCAAGAAGGAGCTGCGAGACGAGGCCGCCCGAGTGCTGCACCAGGCCGATCGCGTCGATTGCGTCACTGATGCTGGATCAGGTACGTTGTGACAAAGTTATCAAATAATTGATAAGCTTTTATGCAACCAGCCCTCATCTCATTTCAAAATATACGTTTTTGATTGGTTGAAATCTCTGTGTTGATAATCGAGAACATGATGTTTTTGTGTTTTGTGTTCGGCTGTAGATTGGCTGCCAGGTACCTGAATATATGTTGAGTTCGTTTCCTCATACGTATAGTTTGATCAAAATCTAAAACAGAATAACTCATTTGTATCAAGCTGTCATGGACACGGATGTCATAATATTTTCATATTCAAGAATAAATAGCACTCAACACGAAACTTCAGAGAAAATAGTCGTAGGCACTGTATATTTTATATATATATATTGTTTATATCAACATCAACCTAACCTCTCGAGTCCGAATTGAGTGTCATGCATGGCTGAACTTAACTTTTGACCTCTATCAACAGCAGTGTTGTCAACAGCAAATTCCAGAACGGCTAATTTATGTTAAGTTCAAGTAGTTAGTTGGAAAAACGATCAATTATGAGTTAAAAATAAAAGCGCCGCAGGTGAAGAATTATTCAGCCAATTTTCAGCTAATCCAGCCATTTTTTGCAATTTTCCTAGCCAGAACAAGGAATCTGACCATTTCCTACGATTCTGACATGGAAATTTCAAGTCTAGAGCTTAGATCTAGAGCTAGACGTATCTATTTGAAATCGCATGCATGAGGTTTTGCATGGATTGAACCAAAAAAAAAAAGAGAATGATTTGATAACCAGCATGAAAGATTTTGAGTGACTGTAGTGAATAGTGGTTTGTAGATTATACTCATTCCTTTCTGTAAATAACACATATAGGGTTTCCAAATTGAAAAAAAAATTGTTTTTGATATCTTGAAAAATTTGAAGATCGTATACAATTGAGAGAGATGATTGAATTCAATGCCTTTTTCATAAATGATAATGTGCAAGAACTTTTTCGATAATATTCAATGGTTTATCTGAATATTTTAGAAGAACACAAAACAAAATGCTCGATAAGGATGCTCCTGGAAATTCTGGATCAAATCAGTTGGATCCAGTAAATGTTTGATAATAATTGTTTAAATGAACCATAAAAGTTTCATTAAAATCGGCTCAAACGTATTCATAATATTATTAAAAACATTTTTTCCTATACTTGGACACCCTATATCTTGAAAGAATAGAAATTCAAAAATTCCATAGATACTTCCTAAGAAGGAAGAAAAAGAATCAATCACACTTCAATGTGAAACATTATGAAGGAGAAGGTGGGAAAATGCTTTCGAATTATTGTTAATGAAAATTTCAAATATCAATAGTTTTTTCAAAACAATTGTATCTTATCTCAAAAAGAACATATTGATGTAAATTAGGAACCATCGTATTCAGAAGGGATCACACTTCAATCCTAAACACCAAGTTTTAGCACTCACTCTTGCCACGATGCGTCAAGAAGTTGAGGGTGAAAGAGTAACTTTCGTTTTTCCTTGTATATAATGATGTAGCCATCCTTTTTTTTTATGAATCAAAATCCAAGCGCACACTCTGAAACATGAATCTACGATTCTTCACCAGAATCGGAAAAGAATTAAAAAAGTTACAGGGCGATCATTTCGGGTACATTCTTTTCTGGCCGGTTTTTTTTTGCCGGTGAATGTATACAGTCTGTCCAAGATAAGGTTGAACAGCATGGGGATCTCGAAAACGGTAAGAGATACGAAATCGGTTAAATGGGGAAAAAGTTGCGCATTCGGAGGCTCATATCAAGAGCCTTCGAAAATTTTGAAAATTATTTTTAGTTTTTGAGTTATATCGAAAGAAGTGAATTTTTAGAATTTCTATTTTATTTTTTTTTTCTCCGTTATTATTAGAGATACAGCAAAACTGAGAATACTTTTGTGTAGCAACTTTTGATGACGGTCAACGTGGTGATACCGATTTTTTCATGCGACGTTTCGTATTCGTGGAACCATCATCAACTTTTGTTTTTTAAATACGGTTCTGATAATTTTTTCACAGATTCTAAAAGGTTTTTTTATTTTGAATTCAACCATTTATTATACAAGGTGGTTCATTTGTGTTTCGACCTATTTTTGGTCATCATCAATGTTTTTTCGAAACCCCAAAGGAAAAAATGCCATCAGTTCCACTTATTTTGAAGGAAAATTAGTCAACACACTAATACCTCATCAACTGGTTTCAATCAACAACCGATTTCATTTTGCGGAAACAAAAATTCCATCCATACAAATTCAGAATATGTCAAGCGCTAAAACCAGGCGATGACGAAAGGCGCAAGACATTCTGTGAGTGGTATACCAGGAAATGTTAAAATTTTGCAGATTTCTTTCGAACAATCATCTGGACTGATGAAAGCATGGTCACTAATCATGGTAGCTTCGATAGAAAAAATACACATTATTGTTCACGAGAAAATGAACATTTATACATTATAGCGAGACACCAACACCGTTTCGGCTTTAATATGTGGGTTGCAATATTTGGTACACGAATTATTGTTCCTTCTATTTACCATGAAACACAGACTTCCGAACGTAATAGAAATTCGCTTGAGAATCATCTTGAGGAAGCTCTGGATGATTTACCGATTGCGGAAGTTCAGAACTGTTGGTTTCAACAAGATGGCGCTCCGGTACATAATTCCAGAGAAGTCCGTGCGTGTTCATCCCTTGGCCGGCGCGGTCGCCTGATTTGACACAGCTGGATTTTTTCTTAGGGGATATATCGAACTTTGTACACGCAAATAACTTCGATGATGAAGAAGAACTAAGGGACAGTGTCTTCGAAGCATTCAATAGAATAACCCCAGAAATGCTTAGCAATGTCTTAGAAGCAACTGTGAGAAAAGGATATCTTTGTTCAGAAAATAATGGTTATCATTTTGAACATTTGTTATGAATGTCTCTGTAGGTATTGTCAAAGTTAAGTTGTTAAAGTAATTCGTGTAAGAATTCATCAACAATTTTAAACGCTGCATTGATCGAATGATGTAGTGAAATATTTTTTATTCACTTTTCAGTATTGAATAACTAATCCATCAAGTTTGACACTAAATGATCAGAAATAAGTGGAACTGATGGCTTTTTTCTTTTGGAAGTTCGAAAAAACATTGTTGATGGATAGAAATAGGTCGAAACACATTCGAATCACCTTGTATAGTACATTAATGAATTCAAAATGAAAAAACCTTTCAGAATCTGTGAAAAAATTATCAGGACCGTATTTAAAAAACAAAAGTTGATGATGGTTCCACTAATACGAAACGTCGCATAAAAAAATCGGTATCACCACGTTAAACCTCATCAAAAGTTGCAATGAAAAAGTATTTTCAGTTTTTCTGTATCTCTGATAATAACGGAGAAAAAAAATAAAATAGAAATTCCAAAAATTCACTTTTTTCGATATAACTCAAAAACTAAAAATAATTTTAAAAATTTTCGAAGGCTCTTGATATGAGCCTCCGAATGCGCAACTTTTTCCCCGTTTAAGTGACTTCGTATCTCCTACCGTTTCCGAGATCCCCATGCTGTTCAACCTTATCTTGGACAGACTGTAGGTATATTCGCAGTTTTTACAGTCATAACTGTCATGAAGTTCGTGATGGTCGTTCTTAAAACAGTTCTTATCTCTTTCGACATTACTCATATTCCAAATTCGTACATGAACCCGTTATACACGATGTCACGCGAATCCATCAGTCGGTCCATCATCTCGAACTGGGCTCAATTCCTTCTTGGTGGGCGAAAAATTGCAAAGAAAACGATAAGACAGCTAGAATTCGTAGGAAGTCGTTCGTCCATATTATATCTGCTCGAATTCCAAAACATGCATGGAACAACCAAAAAAATATTACAGTGGCGAGTCCAGTATTTCTTTCAGGGGGTTAGCAAGAATGAGTCCAGAGTGACCAGAGTATACCTATCTGCATTTCATACACAATATTGTGACTGAACACCTAAGGAATCCTAGTTCCATTTCACACTTCCTCATCATATTGTTTGGAATGAAATCTCGCAAGGGGCATTTCGCTGAGAGAAATTGTGTACACTAGTTCCTTAATGCCAAAATAAGGCTTCATAATTCAATTTATTGACGTAATTCCTCGTAATGCCTCACAATTCCTCGTAATGCCTCACAATTCCTCACAATTTCTCGTAATTCCTCTTAATTCCTCGCAATTTCTTGAAATTCCTATTTTTCTTCAATATATCTTCCATCTTCGGTTAGAGTTCATCATAATCAATATGGGATCTCAGTAAATCAACTCTTTCAATTCGAATTGTTCAATTAACTCCAATGGAAATATATATATTTTGTGTACCTCTGATGCTGTCTGGCTCCCTAGGCAGAAATTTCATTTTACGTTTGATACACATGAATGACGTGGTGTTCTCTTCCTAGCTTCGGTTGAGAGATTAGTGAAGATTTATGTTTTCGATACGACAACACGCGAAATGTCTTCACGAATGCGCTATTTGTACTGAAATGCCAAAAATTCCTCGCGAGTCCATAGGATAAGAGGGATATATACAGGGTGGGTCACGGTAGATGGCACCTTAGACGTTAACGGAGAACGGGACATAAGATCATTCTGAAAATTTGGTTACTCAAGTAATTGCTCTTGATCTATCGATCTAAAATATTTTCAGCTCTGCGGCGTTGCCGCTACTATCGAAAAGTAGCAACAACTTTGTTATTTTAAATGGAACACCCTGTATTTTATTGCATCTTCAGATTCTCTCTGAAGAGCTGATTTCATCAATACATCACACTTGGGGTCTAGCGGAAATGATTACAGAGATATAGGGTGTGAAAAATCGACATTTTTCAACTTAAGGAATTTTTTTTGTCGAAACTATTCATTATTGGTGAAAACGGCTTACATGTCCCCATCTCAACTTTTGATTAACTATCTACTGATATTTAATTGGGACATATACCGGGTGATCAAGAATCTGAATTCTGCACCACCCTGTATTTGTTT